TAGTAGGTTTGCTAGTAATTTTGTTAATAATTTGTTGTGGATGATGGTTGTTAATTTGGTCATTATTGGTGGCAGCACTAAGATAGGCTTTGAAAAAACTATAGAAATAATAGCTTTTACATACTTGAATAGTTTCAATATTGTTGAGTTTAGTAAATTCTTTTTCAGTATCAGAGTCAAGTTGGTGAAGAAAGGTGATAGGTATAGGTTTGCTAAAAGTAGCAGCCTTAGGCTAGTCTTTGTTAAATATAGATAAGTCAAGAGTAGGATATGTCCATTTAGGTTTGGGTTATGTATTAGTTAGAGCTGGAAAATGATTGTATGAGTCAGTAAAGAAAAGAGAAGATAAGTTTTTAACATTATGTTCTGTATCTTTAGATAGTGTTGTACAGTTTTCAACTGTACAAATATGGATATAGTATAAAGCTGCTTTGAAACATAATTTAGAACACTCTTGTAAAGAATTAATAGAGATAATTTTGAATTTAGAAGGTAAAAGAACTTTGCATATATTAGATAATTTAAGAGCAATTTGGTATTTGATATAGTTAAATGTTTTTTCATGATCGATGCTATAAAATTGTTATTTATAAATATTAAAAAATTTTTCAAACCAGGCTTTAAATTCTGGTAGATGATTTTTTAAAGATGGAATTTGAAAGGTTTGAAGAAATCTTTTTTTAGATATGTTGAGAGAAATGTTAATATTAAATATATTATCATTTTGAATTTTAAAGAGTGGTTAATTGATATTGTCTTCACTAAAATTATAATGTAATTTAAAGTAGATAGGGTAAAGTTTGAGGTCTTCATAAAACTTTTCTGCATGAATAGTTTTATATTTGTCATGAAGAATAAGATGTAAGCGAGCCAAATTGAGGGCTACTTGTTTTCGATTAGTGGTGGTATATGGAGGAATGGAGTTTTGAGAAGCAAAGATTTTTGGATAGTTTAATTGAGTAAATAAAGTTGTAGTAAATTCTTTAAGAAGAGAAATAAAGATAGAATGAATTAGTTCAAATGGAATAGATATTGATTTGTCAATTGTAGGGTTTGCTTCATAAATGAGATTGGTTAAGAATTTGGGTCGTTTGTCTGCTAAGGTTTTAATTAAATATTTGTAATTAAGTTTTGATTCAGGACTTGTATTAGATGCTGGTTGAATGATTTTTCCTAGATAGATGTCGATAAGATGTGGTTTAATGAAGTGAATAATTGTTTAGCAATTGTGTTATTGAGTTTGGTATTGTTTTTCATAGTGTTGGTTACTGGATATTCTTTAAACTAGTTGAGATCATTGCTAGTATCTCTTTGAGTTTCTTTTTTCTTTGTTTGGAATACTGTTGTTTTTTGTTTTTCTTTAAAAAAAGGGATTTAAGAAGTTGAATTTTTTCATTAGATTTCATTTGTTGGATTTTAATAAGAGCAAGAATTAGTTTTTGTTTAAGAGTAAGAGGAGGAATAATTTGTTTTTTAGATTTAGAGAAGGAAGTTTGAGTATTTAAGCTAATTAGTTTGGATTTGATTGGGGCTGTAACTATTTGTTATTGAAATGTAAGAGGAGAAGTTTGTTCTAAAAGTTTAAGTTTAATATTCAATAAACCAGGAACACAAAGTTTATGAATTAAATTTTGCTTGAAGATTAGCAAATTGCATAGTCAGGAGCATGGCTACTTTGTTCTGTAGTTATATAAAAAATATTTTTAGTTCTGAATATAAGACATGTATGGTAGTGTTGAGAGTGTACAACAATTGCAGAAGGTATAGGATCTATTTGAAAACTGAAAAATAGCATATAAGGTAGATCAGATTGTTGTTGTTTTAGAGTAAGTGATTGAGGTAGTTCATCAGAAATTTTTCTAAAATGATTAACAGAAATGGTAGAAGAAATTTGAATTGTAGGTTGTTCAAGAAAAGTAGAGTAAGAAATTCTGTAAAACTGAGAAGTGAAACTAGCATGATATATTTCACAAAGGCATGTGTCAATGATAGGTTGTTAAAGAACTTTAAAATAATGATGTTTTTTAGTAATATCACAATTAATTGGATTGATGTCTGCTAGAAGTACATGTAGAGATTTGGGTTTTCTTTCAATCATTCCTACACCATAGTGATCTTTATATTTACCATGATAGTAATCAATATTATAGGAATTAGGGTATTTAGAGACTAAAGTAAGCATATTTTAAGATTTGAAAATTAGAAACAAAGTAGATAATAGAGATCTTGGGTGTAAAAGGATATGAAAGATATAGGATGTAACAATTAAGTGGGTATGACAAATAAAGGGTATGACAAATAAGAGGTGTGATGAGTAATGATATGTGACAAATAAGGGGATATGACAAATAAGTAGCACAGGGTGTGCAGGCTAAGTGGTTACAAAAGATTGATGTTAAACAAATTTTTGTGTTAGTTAATTGAACCAAAAATAGAAAAAAATAAAATTTATATTAGTTAATTAAAAATATGATTTTTGGTAGTGATCTGCAGGTGCTAGGCGTCCTAGGATACAGGACCCCCCTAAAAAAAAGAAAAAATTTTTGCAAAAAAAGAACAGGAGTTTTGTAAAAAAGTTTTAAAGATTTTTATATAAAACCTTCAATATTAATCCAATATTAATATATAATATATTAAAATAAAGCTCTAAGTGAGCTCTGTCTTTTTGTTTAAGATACTAACTAAGGTTAGCTTAGTAAATTATTAAAAATTTTAGAAAAAGTATTTTGCAGTTTAATAAATATATCTTACTGTACAAAGGTCTGAAAGATATAAAACTAGGCCGCCTATATGTAAAATTTAGTTGTAAACAAATTTACTTAGGAGATCAGAGAAGGTTTACTTAATAAATTATTTAGTTATTACCAGTTTATTATCAGAGAATTTTGGTACAAGTGATCATCAGAAAGAGTTAATAATTTGCATTAATCTTTAATAAAAAATTAAGTTTTAATATAAAGCAATTATGTTAATTAATTATTAGTTTAGTACAAATTTAATATTATACAATATTATATAATTTTAATTATCTTAAAAAATACTGTATAAAAATTTATAATCTTTTTTTATTAAAATTTCCAAATTTAATAAATTTATAATATTAATTTTAGCTTAATAACTTTTTTAATCAGTATGTATAATTTTTTAAAAAGTGTTTATATTTATATAATAGGCTACTGTATTATTGTTTTTTTAATATTTAAGATTAATTATATAATTTACTAAATTATGTATATAATAAATATTATTTAAGAAATAATTATTATTAAAAAATATAAGTATTATATAAACATTATAATAAAAATTAGCATGCATTATTTAGTAAAATTTTAATTTAATAAAATAGAAAAGATTTTTATTTATAATATTATAAAATAATTTTTATACTAAGTTAACCTTATTTGTACTTCTAATAAAATTTATAGAGAAAGTCATTGCAGTTCTAATAATAATAAGAACATTAAAATTAGTTTAATATTTTATAAGATATTAATAATTTATATTTTATAATTATATAAAAATTTTTTGCAAATTTGTAAAAAAATTTTTATATAATTGTAATACAAATTATTAATACTTATAATATATTTGACTAATTTTAATGTTTTTGATACTATTATAATTACAATAACTTCTTTTACAACTTTTATTTAAAGCAAAAATAAGCTTAACTTAGTACAAAAATTATTTTTATAATACTATTAGTGAAAATCTTTTGCTATTCTATTATATTAAAATTTTATAAAAAATTTTATTAATTTTATTATAAAATTTATTTTATAGTAAATTATTTAAATTTATTTAATAAATATATATTTTAAAAATATTATTTAATTTACTAATTATCTATTTCTGCAAGAATTATAAAATATTTTAAATTAATACTATTTTGATCTAATAAAAAGATTGATTTATTAATTATTATTATTATTATTATTATTGTTATTATTATTATTATTATTTTCTATAAATTTTTTTAAACCATCATTATTACTTTTTAATTTTTCTAAAAATGATTTTATATTTTCAAAAATTGTTTTTTTATAATATTATATATAGTATTCATATCTATTATTCATTTTTTTATAACAATCTAAATGATAACTATGTTTACAAATTAAAATAATTTCATTTCTTCTTTAGTTTCTAAAAGTATTTATTTATATAAATTATATTGATTTGATGTAAGTAAAAATAATAGAGTAAATCTAGATCTCACACCCCTGCATAACCTTTAAATCTAGCATCTGGAGTGCTGTATACTTATATATCACATAAAGCAAAAAATAAAATAAATTTATCTAGTTTTACTAACAACTATTTTCTTTAACTAACAGTAAGAATAAACCTAAAGATAACTCTAACTCTAAATCGGGGTTGTCTAAATTGAAGCACAATCACATGATATGTAGCCAAATTTGACATAAATTTATGTTGCTAAAAGAAAAGATACAATTTTTATAATAATCTATTTTTTAGAATTGCACCTTTTCTTTTGGCAACACTTATTTCTATACTAAGACATACGTCCAATGATCCTGACAAAGAACAAGAAAAGCTTGAAAAAAGAACCCTAACCCTAAAGTTAATAAGAGTAACTTTGCTTTAGAAATCCCCTAAATCAGGTATAAGGACCCTAACTATAAATCATGCAAATTATAAATTTATTACATTATTATGTACAATGTATGTTTGAGGTAAGAATTAAACAAAATGTATACTTTAGTAATTTTTCTTGATACTAATATTTATTATATCATTTAGAATCTGAAAAGATCAACTACAGGTTGCTATGCTATTGATCTACCTTTATGCTATTTATCTACCTCTACCTCTCCCTCTTCCTCTATCTTCTGTGCTGTCACTATTGCTTTTCTTGTGAAAGCTGCATTGTGGCCCACATTATTACAAATATGACATTTATATGATCTTCTATCCTTAAATTCTTCTTGGTAGCCCTGTTCTTTTTCAGCACTACTAATATACCTTCGCTTGGCTGGTCATCCTCTAGTAGAAACTTTGTTTGGATTTTTTATATTTTCAAGGTTTACTTCATTCATGTTTTGGCTTTCTTCTGTTTCTGTTTCAGTTTTAGATTCTTCTGTTTGATCACTAGTTTCATTTGTTTGAATTTCCCAAGCATTGTCAGATACTTCACTAGCCATGAGTCTTTTAGGCACATCATGATTTTCATTATGCTTTTAGTTGATATAGATTTGAAGATAAGTAATAATTTCATTATCATCTTTTTCAACTGCAAGTAATGTGGCTTCTCATGCTAGTCCCTATACGCAACCATACAAGTTTTTTTTATGAATAGATTTTTTTAATTATGAGTATAGTTGTTAGAACAGTAGTAGGTTTTTGTGTTGGTAAGACCTCTTTGTCATTAAAAATGCTTATCTCACATCTAAACATTGTGCTTTTTCTTTTCAAAATTAATTCATCCTAATGATGGTCTTTATACCAGCTCTGAGGTATTATGCAATATGGAATGCTGCGATTTTTGAATGCATCATGATGTGGAAATAGTGGCAGTATATAATCCTTTTGAGATGGACATTAGGCATGAGCATAAAAAGAATACCACATTGGCAATGACAACAAAATATACATGACATCATTTTTCACTTCTTATGTCCATAACTTTCCAAATTTCTAACACTTCTTTCTGTTTTACTTTGTCCACAATTGCCCAGAGCATAATGAGACATGCATCACATTAATCTTTGATAAATTTTTTAAATACTAGTTGATTATTTTCCTTTATGATGCAAGGTATACTATTAGTTTAAATTTTAATTTTAATTGAACATTTAATTTAGCATTATACACCATTACCTGTTCATGGTGTAACTCTTCAAAACTGGGCTCTATTTTATTTGCACTAACAAATAGACACTGAGACATCTCCATTTTAATTGCATTAGAAATAGGTTCAGTAAGATATTCATCTATAACATTTATTATTTCAGGAAATAAATCTTGCCCAGCAATAGGAATAGTATTCATCATAACAGCTTGTCTGTAATCATGAAACTGATTTCATTGTACTTCATCTCTTAATCTTTCATCAAGCCGATCAGCAAGTTTGCATAGCATACTATTTGTCTTTAATTGTTGCTTGATGACCTAGTTATAACTTTCGACTCTTGATGTGCTTTCAATGCCTGCTATGAATATTCTATAGAGATAAGCTTGAGCCCATGAACAACATTTCAGATCCAGTACACATAAAAGATAGTCTTTTGTCATTGGAAAATCATTAAGTAATTTGTTCCATCTTTCTTTAAAGAGTAGTTCATATAAGCTATTATGACATTTATAAAACTGCTTGATGAAATTATCCTAATTAATACCAAACTTTGCTTTTAGGTTTTTAGGTAAGTTTTGTGCTATATGGAAGATACAGTGGGCTGAATATGTTTCAGAGAATGCAATTGGAATTGTGGCATCAAGTGCAGGATCTTCATCAGTAAACATAACAATTGGAACTTTGTCTACAGCCTTTTTGATATTCTCAAATATCTATACATATGTATTAATAGTTTCATCACTTATCAATACTTGGCAGGTGAGACAGATTTTACACTTGTTGTCAATTACAATGAAAAGTCCCAGTGGCATTTGGTATTAATTGGTTTGAGTTATGTTATCATTAACAACACATCGTAGTATCTAAGCCAAAGATCAACCTGACCTGAAGACATCCAAAGAAGGCGAATTAGGCTATTATCATTATTCAGCTCGAAGTCAACAACCCAGCGTGGATCTTCTAACTTTTTTTGCATTAGAAAAGTGAGCAAAACTGATGCATCATTACTAATCTTGGTCATACTTTTTGCTTTTTGAATTGCATTTGCTAAATCCTGGTCTTGAAAATTCAGATCAGAAAATCAAGCCTTTAAAAGACTTTTTTGTACTGTTAATGACAAATTATCATGCTTTGTTATTATGTTTATTTCATCAAGCGCTTCTTTAAATAACATTCAATACTTTACTCCAAAACTTTGGATTTCAGGAAAAAGGTCATGATTATGTTGATTAACATACGTTGTAATTAAAATTTGTATAGCTCGTTCCAGAATAAATAAGTTGATATGCCATAGGCAATTTGTTTTTTTGATTTTTGTATTTCTTTGTGTTCCTTTTAAAGCAGCTTCAATTGTTTTTTTAGATTTATACTTCCTGCTGAATTCACAAACAAAGGTTCTTTTGTGAATTTGATCTAAGTTGTTTTGTTCAATCCAGTATTTGGTAACAGAAAAGCTATTTCTGGCTCTGTATTTGTTAAAATAGCTTTCTACTTCATCCTATATATTAAAACAAGTATTGTTGGAGATATCCTCAGAAGCAATTATAAGTGAACCTATCAATGTAAGTTTGTTAGTTTTATACTATATTTTGTGCTGCCAGAAGAAAACAGACCTTGGGTTCTCAAAATGAAATTAGAGTTGGAAAAAATAGTTTATAGGTTGTTATCAAAAGGATTGAAGCTTAAAAAAATGAACATGAAGTTTGCCTGATTCCCAATTCAAAAAAACTTTTAGATTTGGGCTTTGGAATTTGGGCTAATTTTAATGTTTGGGTAGGAATTGAGGCAATTTATTATTGCTGAGATTTTGTTTGAATGAAAGGTTTTAGTTTAGTTGGCAAATATGCAATAAATGCAAGGGTAAGGTCTGGTTTTACTTTGGCAGCATCTATTTGTGTTGTATTTTGATACTAACTATTTTTGTTATTTTTGCCATGTTGTGGAAGCATTATTGAACTCTTCAAGGCCATCTTCTTTGAAGGTAACTAAAGTGGTTGTTAGTAAGATTTAATAAATAATTCATTAAATTTGTTGCTTTTGAGACTTATAGTATTTTTCAACTAGTTCAGTTATATCACTGTTAACGATGTCAAATAAGTTTGTTATGGAAGGTCTTTCATTCTGCTCTGTATACAAAGTTGATGCATACTTGATTTGCATTTTAATATGATGTTTTATGATGTAATTTGTGATCTTACTAACTTATGGCTCAAAGTTTTTTTTTTTTTTGGAGAGTGATTTTTTTTTTTGGAGGGCGATTTTTTTTTGAAGGGTGATTTTTTTTTTGAAAGGTGATTTTTTTTTTTGAAGGGTGATTCTTTTTTTGAAGGGTGATTCTTTTTTTGGAGGGCGATTTTTTTTTGAAGAGCAATTTTTTTTTTGGAGGACGATTTGCAATTATTTGTTTCACATTGATTTTTAATCTTTGTTTATATCAGATTTTATTTTTAATTTAGGAAATGTGATACTGTTATATCTTGCTCTATTACTATATATGTAAAATTATGCATTTTTGGCTAATCGGATTTTATATCAATATGCGATGCTAGATTTAAGTGTTTCGCACTCTGCTAGATAAACATTTATTCAAAATAATAAATAATATTCAGTAAAAAAAATATTTAATATCTTTAGTTTGTTGATAATTTGATAATATAAATTTTTGGTTTGTTTTTGTTAAACTTTTTTTTTAAATATTTCTGTTATCCTTGCAACTAGGAATGCAGGTAATATTTTTTTTTATTAAAATATTATTTTATTTGATTTCTGCAAGTTTACATATATTGTTACTATGTACATCACTAGTAGTGTCTTCTAGTTCTTTTATGCTTTGTGCTAACAAGTTTATCTATAATAACAAAGGTTTCTGGCCCTGTGGTGTAGGTAGTGTTGGCAGGCAAAACTATTTTTGACAAATGATAAAAGACAAAACTAAACTTGGTGAAAGACAAAACCTGGTAAAACTCTGCTGAAATGTCAAAACTCTGATGAAATATCAAAACTCTGGTAAAACTTCTGCTAAAGTTGAACTTCTAAGAAAAGTCAAAACTTGATGAAGATCAAATTCTCTAAGACTTCTGAAAAGACTATGCCATCTATTTTTATAATATTATTAGTAAAAATTTAAAAAAAGTTTGAAATTTTAGTTATTTTTTTATTAAATTTATATATCGATGATCAACAAAATTAGCCAATCAAATTGATGCATAATAAATAAGAGTATCATGCTTATACTATATATATATAAATAAAATTATTAATGATTATATAATAAACTTAATTTTCTTCAATTACCTTTCTATTCTTGCTAGTTTCACTATTTTTTACTAATTTTACTACCTTTTTCCAATTTTGCCACCTATTAGCAGTTTTGCCAGTTTCACAGTTTTACTACCTTTTGCTATTTTGCTATTTTGGTTTTTTTTTTAATGAAAGTCAAATCTAGTTTCAACTTTTATTTGTAGTGAAACTCTTAGATTTTGCCTGCCAACACTATATTCATGCATACAACTTTGGGCTGTTCCAACTGAATTAACTCAAGCTTGATATATGAAATGTACAGCTTACTTTTAAGTTCTTTAGTAGTTATATCAGATCTTTGTATTTCTTTTTTTAACTTTTCAATCTGGGCAATGTTTTCTTGAATATTTAGATTTACTTTTGTAAGAGGTTTATAAAGAATCAACAATCTAGCATTATTTAGTGATATAGTATCATTAATTTTGTGAGATGAATAGTTTATTAAATGCTAAAGTAGTCTTATCAATTCCTTCACAGATTTTTCCCAACTTGACATGAAAATTTCCTTATCTATAAATATCATTCCTTTTTTAACTGCTGCTAGAAATCTAAATGATTCATTATCAAAACAGTATATTGTATCTTTACAAATTTTTATCTCAATATCAAACATCTTTTTAATTTCGTCAAGTTGTTTCTTTAGTACTGGTAATGTATCTTCCAGATGAAAGAATGTTCTACTTGTATTAGTAAAGCAGAAGATAATATTATCTTTAGCACTTTTATAGAGGTGTGATAGTAGTTCTTGTATATAATATTTAAATATTATATACAGTCTTACATTATTAGATTTAAAGAGTATGCAAATTCCATTCAGATAATCATATTGACTAATGCATTTTAAAATATGTTCAAAATTTTTTTTCATATTCAATTTCTCTAATATCTCCTATTCCAGGTATATTAATTAATCTTATGACTTTATTTTCTTTAGCATAAAATACATATACACTATATTCTTGAGTAGATTAGTCATCTATGCTATCAATTATTTCATCTTTGTCTCTGTTATTATCATCTTCTCTAGCTATCATTATCGTTTTCATTTAGTAGTCATCATTTGTTATTATAAACTTAGATGTGATTAATATATCTATCTTACTAGAAATTGCCTCATCTAACTTATTAATTTTAAAATAATTTGCAAATGCATTTATAAAAGTAGATTTTTTTTGCCAAAAATTACTTTTATAATCATTAAATTCCCAATAAAAGCTAACAGAGAAGTTGAGACAATTGCAGCATAAGTACATATGTACATATATATGGGACCTGAATGGACTCTGACTAGTTAAGGTCCTCACTTAATTTGGAAAAGGGAAGTTGATCACATCTGTTACATTCATTGCATGTGACTGATCAGTTGCATGTGATGCATGTAACAAATGTGACAGATATCAATGATCAGTTAGATGGGTATTTCAGGTAGTAGTTGAATTAGTTTAAGAAAAATTTGGATATCTGATCATTATAATTTATAATTAAATTAAAACCAGATAGTTATGTATAATAAATTAGTTATTTGAATTATATCTGGATTTTATTATTTATATAAGATCAAACAATAAGATAATAATATATAACAAAACTTATAAATAAAAATATTTATTAAAGAATAATCTTAAAAATAATTTGACCAAAGGTTCCAAAAAACATAACAATACAAACTAGCCAAATTTTAAAACCTATAATTTGGGTTGGTTCATGCCCAAATCCCAAACTCAATCATGTTTGTTTCAATTTTTAGTCTATTGTATAATTATTATTTTTTATTTTTTTTTTTTTTTTTTTTTTAAGAGTGAGGCCTGGCCTCGGTCTTTATTGAACAATTTGGTATTACATTAATTAA